TTATCACTTCGGGATGTCATAGAACTCTTGAATTCTGAGAAAATACACAATCTGTTTCAATAATCTCCAGATCAGATATTGCTTCATGCCTTAAAATAATTGAAATCCTTGCTAGACTCATCGAATTCAACCGCATCTCTCTCAAGACTTATCAAAATATCGATCTAAAAAGTTTCGCAGGTCGCGGTCGTTTATAATCCTTGGCATACCACATTATTTCCTCTCCTTTTCACTACTCTGCAGAGATAGAACTCGTTCCATGCACATCAACCCATGAAACTATTGATTTTGTCCGAGAGCAAGGGAGAAAAAGCTGAATTTTGATTTACGAGATTGACTTGATTGACAGTGATTATTCACTTTCTTTGTATATCGAGAAAACATCAGTCAGAGTTCTTTTTTCGATCAATATAATATTTTTACGGCTGAACAACAGGAAAATACTATGACTCTACATGTAAATTTTGATACAAAACTTGAATATACAAATGACAAAAAACGAAATAAACTGTTGTCATATTTTTAGTGAGAAAAATAAAAGCAGATTAAACCTCTGGTGTCCGATAAAATTACCTTCCAATAGTTTATTTAACACCTCGAAAAGACAAGATGAGATTCGAATATGAAGAACTCAAATGGAAATATATTTTTAGTTGTTAGTCATAACACGTTTTAAACGATCTAATGACAAAGGAGACTTGTCACTTGAAAGAAGCCAAGCAGCTGTCTGTTTATGTAAATATTTTTTTGTACCATTAATGTTGACGATAAAGTACCACTTAGCCAACGTTGGATTAATAGAATCAAAAACTCGCATTCCTTGAAAATTAGTCGAACTAACATTGCAAAGATGATCAGATAGATAATCTTCATCATCACCGCCGTCGATTGAATCTCCATTATCGGCGTCATTTTCGGTAGTATCCCCTTCTTCACAGCTGCTGTCATCTGAATCTGAGTTAAAGTCTGGATCGTGTTCGTTAAGATATGAATAATCGACTATTTTTGATTTTTGAAGTTGAACGCTAGCCAATTTTGTCATTTTTTCCAATGATGAAATTTGATGTGGTTGATACATGTTCAAGTCACACACAAGATGGCTAGCATAAGAATACGCTTGTAAAATAGTATTCTCAATCGTTTCAACTGTGAGGTCTATAGTAGAAGATGATGATAAAGAAGATATTTGTTTGAAATCGATGGTCTTAGACTGTTTATGATGGCATGGAAATAAAAAGCCC